TTAGGATATTTTCACTTTATATTTACTGACTTATTAATTAATTTGATTTATTTATTTATAATGTAATAAGAACATGAAATTATTTATTTATAAAGTATCAAAATAAATGTATTTAGTAATAGATGTTTTTTTTGTACTATTGCTTTTTGGTAGTCAAAACTAAAATTATATACAGTACATATAAAATTAAGAGTCTTATGAATTTATTCCAAAAACCTTACATAATAGAAACTGTAGTTAGTGCAGAACGATATCTGTGATAAGTTCGCTCGTTAATATATTTCCAGAAGTATACATCTAGGTTATATCAGAAATTAGAAGAAGATATAGAAAGTAACTAATATTAAAAAAAGAATATGTAACGAAAGAAGCACTCTTAGATTTTGTGCAAATATTTGACAGGATGTGTCTAAAAAAATTGGTATTACTACTAACAGAAAACAATGTTTTGTAGCTGAGATATACGAATTACAATAACAGTCTACAGAAATCAAACCACGACTGTCGAGGTAGAAAATATTACTACAGGAAATAATATACAGATAAATCCATATTTGCCGTTTATCAATAATTACTGTGTAATCTGTACAGTGAGCTAAATTGTGAGTTTCGAGACTTTATCAGTTGAAGAAGAAAATGGTATATGTGAAGTGCGACTAATATGCAAAATGGAATTATCACTGAATAACATAACATAAATTTGCAGCCAACACTGTTTTATTTGCAAACAATAGTGGATCAGCTAATACGTAAAGAAAAAAAATATTACTGCATTAGATCATCATTATCATCATCGGTGATGCTACAGTCCTAGTTGAGCCTAGACCTTCTCCAGTCTATTTTGCCAGTGGTTTCTGTTCATCGCCAATCGTTGCCAGTTTGCTGCGCCCATCTTTCTCGCGTCCTCGTTCATACCATCCCTCTATCTCAGTCTTAGTATACCTCTACTCATGTTTTCTTTTGGTCCCGCTAATAGGGTGCGTCTTGGTGGGTAATTTTTATTTGATATATTTTTATGAAAGATTTACATCCCTATCATTAACTACTTCTTTATTCTTCTCGTACAATTCGAAATTATATCGCTTTCTCCAAATACCATTTTCACAGATTGCGCTTATTATTCTGCGTAGTATCTTTCTTTCGAAGACGAGCATTTGCGTTTGTTTTGGAGATGTTTCTGACTCATATATCAGTACTGGTAGGATGAGTGTTTTGTATATTAATAATTGGGTCTTTTGGCTTAGATTTCTATTTTTAGCTGCTTATTTAGTTCAAAATAACATTTGTTCGCTATCAGTATCCTTCGTTTACTTCTTCGGATGTGTCATTATCGCTTGTCATGAGAGAACCCAGATAAGTTAACTTATTTACTACCTTAAAATTATAGTGGCGTATGCTAAAGTTTTGTTTGGAGTTTCTAGCTCTGCCTTTGTTATTTGGAATTCATGCCAATATTTTGTTTTTTTTTTCACGTGTGGTGGGTGCTATCAAATCCAAATCTTCAGCGTAAGCCATGATCTGCGTTGGCTTATTAAATATTGTTCCCATATTATTAGATCTTTTATAGTCTTTTCTAATGCTATATTAAAAAGAAGACACGTCAGCGTATCTCCCTGCCGCAATCTGCATATGTTTCAAAGGCTTGTGACAGATCGCCTATTATGAGTAAAGTGAGAGTTACAGAGTGCAAATACAAGCTTTATTAATTGATGGGGAATGTTAAGTTTTTTATGGTTTCATATAATTTACATCTTAAAACGCTATTGTACGCTGACTTAAAGTCCACAAAGAGATGAAATCTATCAATGGTAAATTCATTGGTTTTTTACAAGATTTAACGTAGCGCAACAATCTGGCAACAATTATTGACCTACCTGGCCTAAAACCGCTTTAATATTCAATAATAATTTCTTCTAAGTACGTACTTAAACGGCTGTAGGGAAATATTTTATAAATCTTTTTTCTTCTTTCAGTGCCCTGTCCGATTATCGAACGTTGGCGATCATATTGACAATAATAACCTTATTCACGGCGGCTCTAAATAAATTAGCGGTGGTTTCTTGATACCATTTCGGAGATTTCGTAGCCAGGATGTTCTTCGTCGATCTGGGCCTTTCCTTCCGTCGATCTTACCCTGTATTATGAGGTGTAGAAGGTTATACCTCTCTGGATGTCTGATTACATGACCGAAATATTGTAACTTCCGACTTTTTATCGTTTTTGTTATTTCTGTGCTCTTTTTCATTCGATGTAAAACTATTTCATTTCTTATTCGATCAACCCAACTTATCCGCAATACTCGTGATAAATCCACATCTCAAAGGCCTCTAATTTTTTCATTAATGTCTCTGTAAGGGTCCAACTCTCCATACCATACAGCAATGTGGACAATATGTAGCAGCATTTTATAAATATTGTGTTATATATCCGTATAATTTTTACATTCCAACAAATTTCTTTTTTTGTGAAATGGCCATATGATTACAGTGCACCATTCCTCTGATATTTGTTCTTCTTTCCTTCCCTCTTCTTTAATTATTATGTTGTGAATTTGATGTATAATACGTTACCTCCGTATTGAATGAAATCGGCAGGAATAAAGTCCACTCTAAGATATTGAGGGCCTATTTTGGCCTTTGGGGTGGCGTTTTCTATCATTTTTTACTTCAGTGCCAAGTCGTTCTTTGAAGTGCTCAATCCATCTGCTCTGTACTGCGTCACTGGTATTAACTTTATGTTTTTTTATCTCTACATATCATCAGCCGTGGTTTAAATTATTTGCTTGTCTTATTTAGGATGTTATAGAACTTTCTAGTTTTATGTTTTTTCTTACTAATTGAAGCTTTTGCATTATCTGGTTTTCTAAGGTCAACTCTTTTTCGATGCACGCGTTTTTCCTCCTTCCTGAGTTCTCTGTACGTTGACTCCTTATCCCTTATTCTCCTTTGTTGCATAAGTTTATGTGCATAATTTTTTCTTTAGGGGATATCTTCACATTCATCATCGAACCAGCCGTTGCACGCAGGTCTGGCCCCAGGACGCCATCTGCCGCTCTTAATTGTTTTTCTTTATATATCCCATTGCTCGCTAGTTGTTAAATTCTCATTTACTGTGTTTTAATTTTCAAGGTATTTTAATACCTTTCTAGTGTACGAGGCTCTTTGAAGACTTTTAAATTAGTAGTAGTAGTAGTAGTACGTAGATAAGAACGCACATCCATTAGACTAAGAGTGACTGCTTACTTCATTAGAAATGTTTTAAAAATAAATGCAATAAAAACTTAATTTTATAATCATTACGAACAAACACCATGTAGTAGGGAACTTAGAGATAGCATAACTACAATTGGCTTAATAACGACACATAATTTGTTTCTCTATTGATGAAAATATTGACCAGAATGGCAGATACCTTGCAACAGAAAATGGAACCATAAGATGAAGAAGAACATCTATACAAATGAAATCGTAGGCTTCCACGGCAGAGTCAGAATTATAGTTTATTCGTCTTCGCGGTTTGGACCGTGTCATTTTTGAGTGACCCAAAAGTGAGTTCATCTCGACGTTTCGCTACAATTGTATATAGCTTCTTCAGGAGAACAAAGAAAAAGAAATCAAAAGACAGGAGATGGGTAGTTAGCAACGGTAACTCAGTTACTCAAACGCAATCAGAGGCGAATACCTAACTACCAAGATGGGCATTTGGTCACAGTAACTCAACTACTCAACGCAGCCAGAGGTGAAAACCAAATGCCAGGACAGGGATTCACGTCCAACAGCTCAGAACACTAACGCGATCGAGAGAAGGGGAGTAAATCCGACGATTACTCCGCTGCCGCTCTATTTATAGTCGCGGTGACCTGTCGTGTCGGGACGTATCGGCACACTCCGTGGCGCGACGTCAAGAAGCGCGCGCTGGCTACTCATGTGGCTGCATCGTGGTAGCGGGATCGGACGGCGGCTCTAGACTGAGATTCCAGATGGGAGACAAGTAGTATCTTCCTCTTGATTGATATTATGTGATTTTTCGGATCTCTAGAGATTCGCGGATTTTCCTGAAATAAAAGAAGGGGCTCTAGAAATAATATGGGTTTTTTCGAACAATATGGAATGACCGGTTTCATGGCAGTGTTCTGCAACTGCAGAATGGGAGAAAAGACCTAATCGAATGCATCTTTGATGCTCGTGAATCCGAGTTTTGACGGAACGACCAGTTTCGCCAATATACACATGTCCACATGAACAAGGAATAGAATAGACACCACAGGAAGATAGGGGCGGTAATGGGTCCTTAGGAGAGGGTAGATATTGTGAGATTTTCTTGGGCGGTCGAAAAGTAGTCCTGATACCTTCTTTGCGAAGAAACATCTATACAATTCAAAAGTAACTACATTATTTGAAAGTCGTGACAAATTTTTGACATTTAATAAACAAAAAGTAGTACAGTAGGCAGTACTGTAGACTAGCGCAAAGGTTCATACTATATTTTCTGTATTTTTAAGTTTTAAATAATATTTTTAAAAATAATAAAGAGATTTTAATATTTATTTTAATTAACTATGTAATTTTAGTAAACTCTTGGTGAATTTATAAAGAAAAAATAATAATATTTAAGAAATACATAAAACCACTGTTAGTTAATATCGTTATTATAATATCTTAATAAAATTGAAAAAGTCTAAATGCAAAGGATGAAATCTTAATCACACAAATGGACTCCTCCAACTGTTTACGGCGCTACTTCCGTAACGCCATATCGTGGTGCTATTTTTGTGATGCTTACCTCAGCATTTTACTATAGAGACAAAGCAATACAACTGTAGAATAGAAACTTCGCTTAAAAAAATAATTTGCTATGTAAAGAAAACCATAAATGACAATATTTACAAGTACCTGACTTTCTCTTCCAGAATTCAGATTTATAAGTCCAAAATGGGAAAATATGTACATTTTAACTACAACTAATAATTTTCTTATTTAGTTCGATATTTAATAACTTACCTCATTGGTTTGAAGAGAGCTTCCATATTATTGGCAAAATCAATTATGAGTTTCAGCTGCGTCCCACCGGTTTTCTGTACTGTAACAAAAATTAAAAAGTAAATATATGTAAGTTAAAAAGTTGCTTTTATGTAATAAAATGTAATTTAAGTGTATTTTGTAATAAAAATATAAAAAAGAATTATTAGTACCAATTTCACCATATTTAAAAAGTATATACTATAAACTGATAACAAATATAAGAAAAAAATAATTCGTTAGAAATAGAGGAAACCATTTACAATTTAATCATACCAGAGCAATAAAACTATCAAGGGAGATATAACAAACAAATAAATGTCAAACTAAATGACTCAATAATACAATATTAAAGAACAAAAATATCCCTAATGAAATGAAATGTTAAAGATACCAAAAACTTTTTAAGTCTAAGACCCCACTGCCTACTGCAAGATCATTACGTTCATAACGTAGTTAATCAAACTCACATTTGCACATACATTTAAAATTAGAAGAATACGTTGATATAGGGTGCCATTTTAAAAGTGACCGCAAATATTTTTCATTCTATTAATAGTTATTAATTTTTGAACAAAAATTTTATTTCTTTCATTTCTTTTTTAAATAAAATACGCTGCCATGACGTATATGTAGGTTCTTTTATACGATTGAACGAAATAAATTCGGAACATAGAAAATATTATGTTATTTCGGCTCAATTCTGCTGTAGGTCGTTGACCAACAAAAGGTTGTTAATAATTATATTATAAAAATCCAATACTTCAGCGAGCTGCTGGATTCTGAAATCATAAAAATTGAAAAGCTACACATAAATCTACGATTTTATTATGCTGTTAAACCACTTATAGTACAAAAAACGAAGCATTTTACCTCGCATTTTTTTTCGTCCTGCGTGGATTGGATTTGAAATTTTAACAGAAAGTAGGCAACAGCCAAGGATCAAAATCTATATAGAACCAATGTGCATTGGGGGTGGTTGCCACCCATCTCGGGGCTGAAATTTTTTTTTTACCTTTTAACTACAGGTTTCGATTAAAAAAGTGATTCTAAACAAAAAATGTTCTATACATTTTTTTTAGTAAAACTTTTTTGTATATTTTCAAGTTATTCGCGATTGAAAGTAACAACTTTAAGACGAAAAAAATCGACGTTTTTAATCGATTTTTCTCGAATAACTGAAAATGGTGCATTTTATCGAAAAAAATTGTAGAGAACAAATTTGTAGCTTTTAAAAAGACAAATACAATTCATTTTTTAAAATGTTTTTGCGATATAACAGGAACCGAATACGGCCTATCCATGTCAGCGTTAAAGAGCATAAATAGTACCTATCATAAAAGACGTCTAGCTCAAAAATTAAGATGAGTTATGATGAAAATAAGATTATAACCTCATTTTTTGACGAAAAAAAATCGATGGAAAACAACCCCTAACCACCCCATAATTAAATCGATCTTCACCTTCTGCAATTCTTTGTACATGTATTATAATACGTCCAAGAAGTTTGACCCATTTAAAATGCTTAGTTTTAGAAAAAGTACAGCATAAAGCGAGAAACGATTTACAATTCATATTTTTGTACCCTTCTTTTTTAAATATCCCCGAAAATACTGAATATATAGAAAATATTAAAAATGTACTAAATTGTAGCTTTTTTAATTACTAAAATTTTCTTTATTTAGATTTGTTGTACAATAAATATTTGGGCGAATTATAGCCGTTTAAGCATCGATTTACGATCAAGCCCATCTTTTTCGAGCCCTTTAAACTTACCCCATTTAAAAACCAAGGGTTCCAAAAAGATTTAATTCACAGATCCTTATAGCTCTTAAAAACCTTTACAAAATCGTTTTTGAAGAAACACTCTATCGTTAAAAATGAAAGAAATACTTAAAAAAAACCAATTAATTTTTTTCCGGAAAATTCCATTAGTATAGTACAGTACATTTCGAGCATAATAATCAACAAAACCGGTATGTTAGGTAGTGGGGAACCGTTATACATTCGAAATTTTAAGCGTTCTTATTTTGAAATCCCATACAACAGAATAAAACATCTGCTCATATGTCTATGGCTTGGCAATGAAAATATCAGAGCAACTGATTGGGGATGGTATTCCAAGATGGTTTGTTATTACCCGTACGCATGAACAAACAACCTGACCCGATGAACTTTTAAAAATTATTTTTGCCAATGCAAAAAAGGATGCGCGTTTCATGTGGGTACAGAAAAGTTGGTTTATACTGTAACTCTACTTGTTCTGGTTGCTCAGGTGAAGGTGCAATAATAATCCACCAATAATTGAAGAAGATGAGGATGACATAGATCACGATGAAGATGTAATTGATGACGAATAAAATTAATATTAAATTGTTTTACCTAAAATGTAAATATTTTCAACTATTTATGCAAATGTATAAGAATATATGGTGCCTTTTTTATGTAATATTTTTTTTTGTATTTAATTCTACTTTTTTGTTGCAAAAATTTTGTGTATAAAAATTGTTTTCACTATAGCACTCAAAACAATTGATTTTTAAGGGTTGAAAATGATGAAATTGTATTTTAAAGTAAAAATAAGTCATATTTAACTAATCCAAACCAAATTTCACTCATCTTAAGATTTGTAATGTTATTTTACAATTTTTAAAAATTAGGCTAGTTTTCACCCCTAAGAACAATCAGGTTCGTCGACATAACATAACTATAAAGCAGTGGGTGAATTGAGCTTCAATCCAAATTTTTATCCAAATCGATCCAAGGCGAAATACATTTTTTAGAATTAGTAATTTTTTACATTAATCTCTAACAAGGTTGCTTTTTAGGGTTGAAATATGATAAACTCTATTCAAAAGTATAAAATAATCATTATTTAACTAATTCAAACCAAATCTTACCCATGTTCAGGTTAAATATGTTATTTTATACATTTTTGACAATTAGGGGTAGTTCTCACACCTTAAAACCCTTCAGCGCACTTCGGTTCGATATAGATTTTGATCCTTGGGCTATCACCTACCTTTGTTAAAATTTCAACTGAATTCATGCAGGACGAAAAAATTGCGAAGTTTTAACTTTTTTCGAGCTTCATTTCCTGAACTATTATCGCTTCCTTTACGCAAACAACATTGTTGCGAGACAGATAGTTGAACGATATTTTATACAATGTCTATCCCTAGGTATGGATTTATTTTTGTCCAAGTTTTATATTGGTCCACTATTTCAAATGCAGTTCAAACAGAGATATATTAAAATTGTATGATCCGTTTTAAATTCGTTCAATCTGTGTAAGAAAAAAGGTTTTTGAAGTGAATACTTCTTATCGCTCGGTATTATGTTTTGCTCGGGCCCGAAATCCTATTTAGTGTGACTATAAGGTATCAAAATTATAAAATTATGGAAAAATAATAAAAAATTTAAAATTAAGTAAAATTAAACACAATAATTAACTAAAGTTAACTAAAATTAAATAAAATTTAATAACAATAAATCAAATTGAATAAAACTAAATAAAAGTGAATAAAATTAAATAGAATTATATAAGATTAAATAAAAATTAATAAAATCCAATAAAATTAAATAAAATTAAATAAAATTAAATAAAATTAAATAAAATTAAATAAAATTAAATAAAATTAAATAAAATTAAATAAAATTAAATAAAATAAATACAATTAAATAAAATTAAATAAAATTAAATAAAATTAAATAAAATTAAATAAAATTAAATAAAATTAAATAAAATTAAATAAAATTAAATAAAATTAAATAAAATTAAATAAAATTAAATTAAATTAAATAAAATTTAAATAAAATTAAATAAAATTAAATAAAATTAAATATAATTAAATAAAATTAAATAAAATTAAATAAAATTAAATAAAATTAAATAAAATTAAATAAAATTAAATAAAATTAAATAAAATTAATAAAATTAAATAAAATTAAATAAAATTAAATAAAATTAAATTAAATTTAATACAATCAAATATATTTAAAAAAATTGATATAAGGTTGCATGCTCGATTAAATAAACTTTGATAAAATCAAAGGCAGATATCCAGCACAGTTTTATTAATTAAACCTTCCCAAGTACTTCCGGTTCCTAGAGCATCTTCAAGGGCATTTCGTCAATTTTAGGCTATCCAACAATCGTAGAATGTCATAAACATAAATTTAAACATAAAATTGTACATAACACTATACTAAACAAGCACAAACAGTTTTAAAATTATTTAAAAAATAGTCGACGCTACATTCTGGTCGGCAACAGGAGAGAGAATGACCTGTGTTCATTTATCTCAGAAGAGCAGTTCATAGCTCTCTCTATTGCCCAAAGTTCTATGGAGTCGAATGCCTTTTCATAATCAGCGAAGCCAATGTGTAAGTTCTAGTGATATTCATTGGATCTCTCTATTAGCGTTCTGACTGTAAGGAAGATTATCCGCTGTACTGTAACCCTTTCGGAATCCGGTTGATAGCTATCGAGCTTCGACGCTAACCTGTTAGTTATTATTCTTATAAACACTTTGTACATTTGAGACAGCAGGGAGATTGGCCTATAGTTCTTCAGATCTCCACTATCCCCTTTTTGAAGAGTATTGACAAACTTTCTTTTCAATCATCTGGGACTTCTTTTCTGCGAAGACATTCGTTGAAAAAAATTTTCAATTCTTCGAGAATAATTTCATTGCCCTTCTTTAACATTTCTACAAGTATTCCATCTGGGCCCGGAGCCTTATTGTTGTTTAGTTGTGCCATAGCTTGTTTTATTTTGAAGTATTCTATGTTAGGGAGTATTTCCGAGTCGACATTCGTTATGTTTCTCTTAAAGTCTTCCTTTGCAGTGTTATCTGGTTTTTTGTTTGAGGAATATAAATCACTGTAAAATGTTTAAGTAACTTTTAGGATTTCATTATTTTCTCTACTCTTTTCCATCTTTATCCTTTAATGAAATTATTATAGGCTTTCCTAAGTTTGATCTTAAGCATTTCAAGCCTCGGTTCTTTTCTATTATTTTTTTTTACCTTGTTTTTATTGTGGATCCTTACATCTTCC